AATAATAAAGGATGGTTATCCAATAAAATTCATCTGTCTTAGTATGGTACTCAAGGTCTCTCACAATGTGGCTTCAGCCTACCAACATAGTGGTGATAATGACAACAATAATAAAGGATGGTAATCCAATAAAATTCATCTGTCTTAGTATGGTACTCAAGGTCTCTCACAATGTGGCTTCAACCTACCTCTTCTGCCCCACTTACAGCCTGTCTAGCCACATGGTTTATCCTAGTCCAGCTGAACTATTCAGTTCAGTTCAGTTCAGTCACTTAGTCGTGTCCGACTCTTTGCAACTCCATGAATGCAGCAGGCCAGGCCTCCCTGTCCATCACCAGCTCCCGGAGTTTACTCAAACTCATGCCCATCGAGTCAGTGATGCGATCCAGCCATCTCATCCTCGGTCGTCCCCTTCTCCTCCTGCCCCCAATCCCTCCCAGCATCAGGGTCTTTTCCAATGAGTCAACTGTTCCCATGAGGTGGCCAAAGTACTGGAATTTCAGCTTCATCATCAGTCCTTCCAATGAACACCCAGGACTTATCTCCTTTACGATGAACTGGTTTGATCTCCTTGCAGTCCAATGGACTCTCAAGAGTCTTCTCCAACACCATAGAAAAGAAGTCCCCAAATGGGCATCTTTATGTGTGCCTCTGTCTGTGTCTGAGTGTCCTGTCTGTCCCTCCTCTATCTGATCTGACATAGACAGGTCTTTTCTTTAAAGCCTGGCTCCAGGGTTGCCACCTCTGTGTGGCTTTCCCTTCCCTCTCTCCCAAGACCCTGTGGGAAAACTTTTATTGCCGTTAGAGTGTTGTCTATCTTCTCCATTCCTCTGAGCACCCACCATCAAATTCAGACTATGCATTCTGGTGACATTTGTCTCTGAATCCCCAGTGAAACCTAATAAGTGTTGAGTAATTATTAACAGACATTCATGCACAGCATTGGCTGCCCCAACACAGGCCGAGCTCCACCTCTGGAAAACTGGATCTGGCTACCCAGCCTCTGAGTTCCTGTTGTCATGAACACAGCAAATAACCCTCTGCTAAGACCCGAATGGAAGTGCAGTGATTGCTGGGGAGTGGAGAGGTCTCCAATATTAGAGTTCTAGTCCAGAGCTACATTCCTATAGCAAGGCCCACGTGGTTGTTGAGCATCATGAAAGAGTAAAGGCTTTTCTTCTCAATGAGTTATTTCTGCCCGGGGCCAACTCAGCTCCAAGAGAACTGAGCTGGACTCCATTTCTGCCTTATGCTTAGGCATAATAAAATTCCTACAGTCTAATTTTAATACTGGTGATGCTACAAGAGGCAAGAAAAAAGATTAGCTGGATTATCTGTTTCCAAGAGCAACTCGCAGAGCTAGCATTTTAGAGAGGGGGAAAACAAAAACCCTTTTAGTCTTGAACAGAACACATGCAATGTGGCCACAATTAGAAATAAACCAGACAACCCATATAAGTAGTTAAGCAATTGCTTTCTAAAATGATACCTGTACCTTGGAAAGCTATCAGTTTCTCACCCATAAGGTAGGAACAGCCTCTGAGGAACGTACAGTGGGTAAAACTATAGGGACCCACGAGGCCCATCTAAAGAGAGACGAGTGGGAACTCACAGTCCATCTTTCTAGTAACACTGCCATCTACTGAAACTTTCTGCTCCTTTCTCTGTCTCCCACATCTGCAATCCCGCAGTTAGTTTCATTTCAGCATTTTCTTGCGTGGGTCTCATTTCACATCTGATTTACTATTCTATTTGTTGCCGTGAGGTTTCCCACCCTCCCTTCCAGAAATTAATTACTGTAATTATCCAACTTTTAATAGCTGCTGATTTGGCATCTGCAGGACATTTTTGAGAAAATGCACCACTACATTTCATTTGCATATTTGAGAGAGTGCGTGAGAATTAGAATTTTCCTAAATTACTTACTGTGACCTGAATAGAGAAAAAGTATCCTACCAAGTGGAAGTCTCATTTGCATACTTAATTTGGCCAATTACCATCGCAGGGTGAGAGAAAGTTCTTGCCCACACACTGATGTGACAACTCAGGGTGTTTATCGGGAACCCAGGCTCATCCACAGAGTCTTCCTATACTAGGAGACAGAAGGACAGGCCACTGTCTGCTCTGCATCACTTCATCAGTCATCCTCACGGTGGAGACTCGCAAAAACATGTTTATCAGCAATCAGTTTGATTGCTAATCACCCAAACCACAGGCTTGGTTGCTTCCTTTGCAAGTGCCTTGCATGGTATGAAATACAGCTAAGGAGGCCAGACATCCTCACAGTGAGGCAAATGCCACTGGGAAAGTGAACAATGCCAAGATGCATAACCTCAGATCAAGAGCTGCAGAGAGGAGAGGTTTATTCATCAAACACAACTTGACTTTGGGCCTGGAGTGAGTTTTAGATCTCCTCTCACCACCCCCATGATTTTAGGAAGCTGCACAACTTTCTTGAGCTTCAAGCACCTACAAACTGGGGAGAATTTCATGTACTTTAATGACTTGTTATGAATATTGATTAAATAATGTTCCTGGAACAGAGGTAACCCTCCCTGTTTTGTTAGTTTCCAACATGCTCCAGGCAGTCTCTGTCCTGAACACTAACGTAAAGAAAGTGAGGTCCTGGGCTTTAGATAACTAAATGACTCAAAGACATTTGGTTTAGGGCTCAGATAATTTTACCCATCAGTTAGATATCTGAGGCAAGCGTGGTGGCTGGTCTTTAAAGATGCTCCCCAACAATTGCTCCTTTAGGACACACAAGCCACCCTTCACATCAGTAGAAGAGACATATGTCCTTTCCTGCTGTGTCCAAGCTGAACTTGTGATTCACTTTGACCGACAGAATGCTATGGAAGCAATGCTGGCCCGTTCCGGGCAGGGGTCTCTGGAAGGCCTGGCAGCTTCTGTGTTTGTACTTTGGGAACCCCGAGCTGCTGCTGCGTGACCTGCTAGAGAATCAGATGTAGGGATACAGGTAGAGGCCAGATGGAGAGAGCTACATGGAGAAGTCAGGATCCTCCCAACGGCTTAAACGAAGGACAAGGCAAAGCTGGACCTGCATCCCTGTGAACTCCCATTCTCCGATAGAAGCCACAGCTGTGCGGGGAAAGACCAGGAGCCCTGGCAGTAGGCAGGACCACATTTAACACCAGGTCCACCAACTCAGAATCGTTAAACAGCATGTATGTTGTCTGAGACTCAGTTTGCCACTGGATGAAGCTAGAACAATCATACTCCCCACTGTGGCACTAACGGTAAAGAACCCGCCTGCCAACGCAGGAGAGATGCCGGTTCGATCCCTGGGTTGGGAAGATCTCCTGGAGGCGGGCATGGCAACCCACTCCAGTATTCTTGCTTGGAGAATCCTATAGACAGAGGAGCCTGGGGGGTTACATTCCATGGTGTCGCAGAGTCAGGCATGACTGAAGCCATTTAGCAGCAGCAGTCAGGGAAAGGGGGTAACACTGGGCCTGCTACATGGTAGCTTCTCAAGTCAAGTCCTTTCCTTTCACCTGCTGCTAATTCAAATGTACGCTTTCCAGGGTTTCCTCAGCTTCCAGTTTCTTTCTCAGAACCTCTAGAGAACGTGTTTTACAAATTGCGAGCACTTCCTGAGAATCTGTCTTGTTCTGAGGCCCGACGCTCTTGCTCATGCAATCTTGGGCCATCGGTGCTCCTGGGTCAGGAGCTGAGAGATGCCTTGCCTTCCCCATCGTCCCGTTCCCTGAATCCTGTTCATCTCAGGGCCTTGAGTCTCTCTCGCAATAGGTCTCCTGACTCCTAGCTCTTCACACTTTCCCACAGACGCCACCTTTATTGGGCTACCACCACGTATCACCAGACTGTGGACAAGGCTCCCTAACTCCCCCAGGCCACCCTCCAGGCAACAAGAGAGATTATAATAGAAAAACCCGATGGCATACCCCTCCACTCGAGAGAGACTTCGTGTTGCCCGTGGGATAAAACCTGCCCCTCGACAGGACTGCACCTTCCTCCGCCCACGCCTTCCGGCCCATGTTCAGTTCTCCTGCTCTCACCCCAGCTGCCTTCAGCAGGCTCATCCCCACCTGGATAATTTCTACTCATTTTTCAGGGCTCTGTTGAAATGTAACTGAGAGATGGCTCCCCTGACCTCTGCCCCTTCATCTAGGTCAGTTGCTCAGTCATGTCCGACCCTTTGCGATCCCACGGGCTGCAGCACACCAGGCTTCCCTGTCCATCACCAACTCCCGGAGCTTGCTCAAACTCCAGTCCATTGAATCAGCGATGTCACCCAATCATCTCATCCTCTGTCATCCCCTTCTCCTCCTGCCTTCAATCTTCCCCAGCAACAGGGACTTTTCAAATGAGTCAGTTCTTCGTATCTTTAATTAGGTCTTCCCCCCACTTCCATTCCCATTATTCACGCTCAGCATCCCATTTTTCCCCCTTAATATCACTTGTGACAAATTTTAATTGTATCGTCATTTGTGAGCTTAGTTACTTAGTCTGTCTGCCCCACCACCACCTCCACACCATCAGTCCCCACCACAGATGCAGGCTCCTTGGACAGTGCTCAGTGCTCATGCCATTAGCCCTGCACATCCTACACAGCATTGAGCCAAGGTAATAGCCAGTATCCAAGTGATGAATTAATAAATGGGAATCAAAGGACTTCTGGCCCCACCATTGCCCAGTGCTATGTGCATCACTTATATTGGGCTTGCCTCATGAAGGTACATCATTTCATTCAATTTTTGCTTGGTTGTTGTTTTTACATGGTCACTTCATCAACAGAACAATCTGTTTAGAGTGGCAATGGAAGGGTGGGTAGCACTCAATCAAAGGTCTCAAAACAACGAAAACCCCCCGCAAGGAAAACTACAAGAGGGAGGCTCTGCTAATACAGAGGACCGGGGGCAAAGGCAAGAAAAGGGAAAGGGAGCCTCTGGCCAGAGGAGCCTAAAAGATCAGTCATGTGAAAAAGACAAACCTGTGTGTTCATCAACAAGTACCTGAGGGTGATCTTCGTGGTACAAGCGAGGCAGCAGCCTCACCATGATGCACAGGACCCCGGGGTGCATGATCACAGCATCACTGTCATCTGTCCTGCTGAGAGAGGGAAGCAGGACATCAGACATCATTTCTGGATCTCTCTAAGACAGGCCATTTGCAGCCTACCACTTATTATCTATACGCTATGTTGTGCTGTGCTTAGGTGCTCAGTAGTGTCCAACTCTTTGCGACCCCATGGACTTTCACCCACCAAGCTACTCTGTCCTTGGGGATTCTCCAGGCAAGAATACTGGAGTAGGTTTCCACGCCCTCCTCCAGGGGATCTTTGGAACCCAGGGATCAAACCCAGGTCTCCTGCATTGTAGGCTGATTCTTTACCATCTGAGCCACCAGGAAAGCCCAAGAATACTGGAGTGGGTAGCCTATACCTTCTCCAGGGGATCTTCCCGACCCAGGAATCAAACCAGGGTCTCCTGCATTGTAGGTGGATTCCTTACCAGCTGAGCTACCAGGGAAGCCTATCTATATGACCTTGAACTAATTAATCTGAGCCTAACTCCCCCTAACTGTACAAGAGCTGTGCAACACCATACTTTCTGCATAGAGTCATAGAACAATGCCATTGTACGCTAAGGCACAGCACCCAGCACAGAGCTGATGTTCAATGGAAGTTAGTTTCCTGGACCCCTATCCTCTCTCCACATGGGTGGGAAATGGAGAAGCTCTCATTCTTTATTAAACACACACACACAGAGCATTTCTGGCTTCCTTCAAGATGGTGTAAGCACTGTCCCACCCACTGAATGCAACTTAAAACCCACATAGAAAGCACGAGCAGCTCTCCAAGGACTGAAAAATAAACCGCAGCAGAGAAGGAAACCAAACCGAAAGCATCATGCAACCAGTAACACATTTCCTGGGGCTTCCCCATCCAGCATCCTCTGCAATGGGCTTATAGGGAGTAAGAACTGTGTAGCAAGTGTGGACAGGACAGACTGAGCTTTAAGAGAAGGCTCATATCTGGTCTAAGGCATGGGAAAGGAGGCTTCATCAGCAGGTCACAGAGCATGGAGGAGAATCCCTGGAATTTTTTTTGTTGGACTTCTCCATCGATTCTTTCTCACCTATCCTTCAAGAAATCTCACAGCAGCAGCAGCAGTCAGACTGGTATCTGAAATTCTTGGGGAGGGGAACCCTTCTCTCTGACCAGAGGAGTTCTGGTCCCAAGAGTCAGGCACAAATCTCCATTGCTTTTATCTCTCTATTTCCTCTCCTGGCTTGGCTCCAGAGACAGATGCAGTGGTGGGAAGTGTGTGGCAGAGCAGATAAATTAAAGCTCTAGCTTTCTAGACAGAAGGATCTTCCCGACCCAGGAATCAAACCAGGGTCTCCTGCATTGTAGGTGGATTCCTTACCAGCTGAGCTACCAGGGAAGCCTATCTATATGACCTTGAACTAATTAATCTGAGCCTAACTCCCCCTAACTGTACAAGAGCTGTGCAACACCATACTTTCTGCATAGAGTCATAGAACAATGCCATTGTACGCTAAGGCACAGCACCCAGCACAGAGCTGATGTTCAATGGAAGTTAGTTTCCTGGATCCCTATCCTCTCTCCACATGGGTGGGAAATGGAGAAGCTCTCATTCTTTATTAAACACACACACACAGAGCATTTCTGGCTTCCTTCAAGATGGTGTAAGCACTGTCCCACCCACTGAATGCAACTTAAAACCCACATAGAAAGCACGAGCAGCTCTCCAAGGACTGAAAAATAAACCGCAGCAGAGAAGGAAACCAAACCGAAAGCATCATGCAACCAGTAACACATTTCCTGGGGCTTCCCCATCCAGCATCCTCTGGAATGGGCTTATAGGGAGTAAGAACTGTGTAGCAAGTGTGGACAGGATAGACTGAGCTTTAAGAGAAGGCTCATATCTGGTCTAAGGCATGGGAAAGGAGGCTTCGTCAGCAGGTCAGAGAGCGTGGAGGGGAATCCCTGGAATTTTTTTTGTTGGACTTCTCCGTCGATTCTTTCTCACCTATCCTTCAAGAAATTTCACAGCAGCAGCAGCAGTCAGACTGGTATCTGAAATTCTTGGGGAGGGGAACCCTTCTCTCTGACCAGAGGAGTTCTGGTCCTAAGAGTCAGGCACAAATCTCCATTGCTTTTATCTCTCTATTTCCTCTCCTGGCTTGGCTCCAGAGACAGATGCAGTGGTGGGAAGTGTGTGGCAGAGCAGATAAATTAAAGCTCTAGCTTTCTAGACAGAGGAGTAAGGAAGGGACACCAGGGAGCCTGAAAGTGTTGGGAAAATGATGAAGAAGAAGAGACTTAAGAAAGTGAAATCATTAGGTTGTGCATCAATCTCTGGGTTCAATTCTGAGCTGCACATGAGTGGATCTGACCCTAAACCACATTCCAAAGACTTTGAGAACTGAACTCAGGAATAAACTACCACCCAAGACTGGCATGGGACAATGAAAAGGTACATCAACCTGCCTAGTAAAATCTTTGAAAACCAGACTGATACTGGACACAAGGTCCAAGAAAGGTGGATAAGAATTTGCAGCTTGAACCTCATTGGATCAGTTGCCTGTTAAAACAAAATAATCAACATTCTCCAGAAGATGACAATGAGGGCCAGAATTCATAACATTAAAAATGTCCAGGATATAATCTGAAGCTACTCGGCTTAGAACAAAGGAAGGAAATCGCAATATCTCGCATGGAAAAAGATAACAGATGTCAAGTTGGAGATGACACAGTGGTTGGAATTATCAGAAAACAGCAAAAATCAGTGAAACCATAAGTTGAAAAACAATAGAGGAAAAATGAAGTAAAGATCTAGTTATTTGAAAAAGTTTTAAAAATTGAAAAACCACCAACTAAGTTAGCAAAGAAGGAAAAAAGACACAAATAACCAATATTAGAAATGAAAGAGAGACTACCATTACATACCCCGCAGGCATTAAAAGGATAAGAAAACATCACAAATAACTCTGTGCACACAAATTTGACAACTTAGATAGAACAGACCAATCCCTTCAAAGCTACAAAGTAACAAAAGTAAGCAAGAAGAAATAAACAGAACAATTTTACAACTATTACAAAAACTGAATATGTAGTTTAAAACCTTTCCACGAAGAAAACTCCAGGCCCAGATGTTTGCACTGGTGAATTTTACCATACATTTAAAAGATAAATAATACCAATTCTATACAACTTCCTTCAAAATATACAAGAGAACACTTTTAAATGCATTTTATGAGGCCAGTATGACTCTGATATCAAAAGTAGACAAAGCCAGTACAAGAAAAGAAAACTACCTGCCAATGTCACTTATAAAAATAGGTGAAAATTCTCAACAAACTATTGCAAAAACAAATATAACTATACATAAAATAAATAAGGCATTGTGGCCAATCTGCCTTAACCTGCAAGACTGATTCGGTGGTCAAAAATGAGCCAATATAATCTATTATATTATTAAATTAAAGAAGAAAAATATGATCATATACCAAAAAAAGTTTAAGAAATTCAACATCTGTTCATGATTTTTATCTATTTATTTATTTTTCATTTATTTTTATTAGTTGGAGGCTAATTACTTCACAATATTATAGTGGTTTTCTCTTGGTAAAATAGGCATAGAAGGAATCATCCATAACTTGACAATGTACATCTACCAAAGGAACTTAGCTAATAGAATAGTTGATGATGAAAGACTGAAGACCTTCTCTTCAAGTTTAAAGACAAGGCAAGGATGTCCTCTCTCACCATTCCTATGCAACATCATGCTGAAACAACAGATTGGAAAGGAAGGTATAAAACTGTCACTATTCACAGACGGTATGATTGTCATATAGAAAAAAATCCCAAGCAATCTATTTTTAAAAAAATAATAAAAGCTCCTAGAAAAAATAAATGAATTAGCATGGATGCACAGTGACACACAGAAATTGATCACATTCCTATACACTAGAAGTAAACAATTGGGATACAAAACATTTAAAATATCATTTAAAACCATACTCCCAAAACATAAGAGTAAATCTAATTTTAAAAATGTGCTTGCTCTGTATGCTGAATATTATAGACCTTGATTTTTTTTAAAAAAATCATAGATTTATATAAATGGAAAAACAGTCTATGTTTATGGATTAGAATACTCAATGTAGTTAAGGTCTTAATCCTCTCCAAATTCATCTATAGATGCTTTTTAATACAATTCCAATCAGAATCCCAGCAGGAATTTTGTAGGCATAGGCAAACCGATCATTAAATTCCAATCTGTGAAAGACACTTTAAAAATGAAATGAGAAGTTATAGACTGGGAGAAAATATTTTCATCCATACAGTGGAATACTACTCAGTAATAAAAATGTAAGAACTACTGATACAACAAACTGGATAGATCTCAAAGGCCTTGTGCTGAGTTTAAAAAGCTGGCTTCAAAAGACTACACACTTGTGCTTGTGTTTATATGTTATTCTGAAAAAGACGAAACTAAGGGAATAGATCAGTGGTTGCATGGGGTTAGGGGTTGGGAAAGGGTTTCATTATGAAGGGACAACATTCAGAACTATTTGAAGGGGTGGGACTGTTTGTTTTGTATCCTGAATGTGGTGGCAGTCACGTGACACTACACATGACTTAAGACCCATAGAACTCTACACCAAGAAAAAGGCTTTAACTGCATGTTAATTGGGAAAAATAGCAATAAGAAGAAAAACAAAGGAAAAAAAAAATCACAAGACTAATCCTGAATCACAAACACTTGATTTTCAAACATCTTGCCTCTAGCATTGCTTTTACAACCTACAATGATATTGTTTTTGGCACCACCAGCCCTAAAAAATGTCTAAGGTGCCAGGAGTGCTTCTAACACTTGGTGTTAATTTATCCAGTTCAGTATTGAACAAATATTTGTTGACCTACATATCTTCCTGGCATGCTGGATACATCTATAAGCTAAACAAAGCAAAATCCATACCCGATAAGTGAGAAGAAGGGTATAGACAATAAAGATAAACATAATAAATAGGTAAATTAAAGATAATAAAAATTACTATTGTTATATAAGTTATACTAT